TTCAGCACAGCTCTGTGTGTCCCCACTCGCTAGTCCTTAGGTGTTGTGGTGGGACAGGTGGAAAGGGAATGCCAACACCTCTGATGGAGGCAGAACTAATTGAATTAGTTTGTTACTTACATCTTAGCTCTGACAGCCAAGTCTTGTTGCTTATTTCTAGCACAGGTGGTCACTGAGGATCTGTACTTGGCATTGGCAGACACTTTGGATTGCTCTTTAACATCTTTTACCAGGAAAAAGAAGCAGTAGAAAACTAGATCAGCAGGCAATATTAATCAAAGCTGAGAAATACTAATTTTACAACCTCACTTTCAGTGTCTTAGTTCTGCTTAGTTTTTTTTCCTCCAAATGCATCTTGCACATGAATCAAAAAAAGTCTAAAACAAACTGTTTTGTTAAGGAGCGCAGCCGAATTCCAGCAGCTTGGCAAACAGGAATGTTACCCCAGGCGCACTCACCTACCCCCAGCCATCTACAAAAATGCTAGAGAGCCCGATGAAAAATCACCAGCTCAGCAGTAATGCACCCACAAGTACAACTAACTACCTTGGGAGTTTTGATCACGAGCCAAAGGATCAAACTTTATTCTGAGGTGTTATTTTTGAAGGCTTTCTGAATGAATTGCTCAGAACGTGCTCTTGGTGCTCAGCCCTGAAGAAAAAGAGGATTACAGGAAGCAAGATCTGCTAAGCAATGATACAGATACCAGGCTCATAAAGTGATGAAGCAGCAAGTAGCACTCCAGTCTCTTTATGCAGACTCAACACTGAATTTAATTCCCCAGAATGGCGTTAGGAGATGCTCTGTCTCTAGAAAAGTTGTCATTTGAATGAGATATTATAATATGAGGACCACAAAATTTTGTATCTTCAAACCAATGGTTTTGGGTCTCTCTTCAGGGTTTCTGGGCATGTGTGCCCATGTAAGTTCAAAGCCTCATTTCAGCAAGTTGTCTGCCCAAACAACTTTTTAAGCTGAGTTGCATAGCTCCAAAGTCCAAAGCACAAGTGGAGGCAGAGGTGAAGTTTTTCAAACTGGATTTCAAAAGAGATAAAGGATAAGTGAGAGATGGAAAATAACCACATTTTGCAAGAAGGACCAGTTGGGAGACACAAAAGAAAAATCAATCTCTATGCATGCAGTTGGAATGAAGGTCAGATGTTGAACACCTTAATAAATCACTCTCTATTTTAATAGAGAAGTAGTAGAAGTCTATACATGACATTTTTCAGCCTGTGCTACATAAAGCATGGGAACAGTCTTCCTGGAGAGAGGACACAGGAGAAGATACAAGTCCCAAGAACATGAAGTGAATAAGAATGGGCACAGTTTGATCACCAAGGGGCATAAGGATGGTAAGGAAGAGTAAGGAATACCTTTGTCACTTTGTTTTGCTACATGCTACTGAGATAAAGTAGGATTAATACATGAGTGACTGGTCATCACTGCCACCCTCATGCCCTCTCTGAGAAGCTGTAAGAGAGGGAAGACTAAATGATACCACCAGCAGCAAACACCTCTAAAAAGTGCCTGCAAGCTGCTGCATCATAGAGGCCAGATGGTTCAGACATTAACTGCCCATCCCTTTTCAGACTGAAACTGTCTTTTGGAAAACTCAGCTGTGGCTGAATGTGCATGTCCCTTTCTGGGCCTTATCTCTCTAATAAAATGAGCCAAAACCCAAATCTGGTATGTAACTACCTGGCTGTAGTCCATCTCTAAATTACATCCAGCTACTGTCAGAGACATTTCCCATTAACCTTCTCTCTGCTGCTTGCGGACTCTCCAAATACCAAACACTATGTAGCAAGTTGCAGAACAGCTTGCAAGATGCAGCTGATGCAGAAGTTAATA